TTGTCGACAACAAAAACTTCGAGAACAAATAATTGAACTTCAAAATTCAGACAATCAAATCGTAATTCAAAATGATCCACCAGTACAAATTATTGAAGAAGATTCACAAAATCAAGTAATCCAAATCATAAAAGAAGATAGTGAAGAAGAATAACCAGCAATCCATACATGATATCTTTTTGTACTAGTAACTATTTCCCATTCAGGTGATGGTGTTTGTTAATGTTGATTTCTGGAGTACTGGTTTTTGGAGTGATGAATGGATGAATGCAAGTTGAATTGATTATTTGCATATTTGTCATGTAATGTTGAATTTGATTTAGATGTGTTGAATATAGGTGTTGTTTGATTTTCTATATTAAACAATGGTATTGTGATAATGTTGTTGTTGATTTCTGTATCCATATCAGATGTGATATCATTGGATGTTGTGTATCCTGCCAATTCTGATGTTGTTGACTCATTATCGTCAGAGGAAATTTCCATTTCTATTGTATGAGTGTGTTTGATTTTTTTTGTCTGGGAGCGCGTGAGTGATTTGCTTGTTCGTGAGTACAGTTTGAATTGGGTGTTGCCTTTTTTGGATTCAGAAAGTGCGTCTGAAGTGTTGTCAGATATGTTAATAGGAGTTTGCCACTTGGTATTTTCTTGATAAGATGAAATACCTATGGATTCTGTAATGCGACTTAAGATAGAGGAGGGAAAATTAGTAGAGCTGTTATTTTTTTTGTTAGACATGTTAGTTAGTTTGTATAGGTTTTATATAAATGTAAAGATAAATTTGATATGTATATATAGAAAGAGAAAAGAAAAGAAAGAGAAGTTTATTTTTGTGATATTTTTTTAATTTTTTAAGTATTTTTGAGGAATTTTTAGTTTTTATGTATTTTGCAAAAAGAAACAAATAAAAGAGAAATAAATTTGAAAAGAGAAGAGAAATTAGAGTCGTGACAGGTTTGTTTGGTAAGTAGTTGAAGGAACAGACTTCTTTTCTTAGGGAATGTGAAGTGTTTTCACACTTTTAAATTTGTTTCTCTCTCTGGTTAAAGGATCGATACGGGAGAGATGCAAAAAGAAGATCTATATCTTGTATTATATTATTATTTATATTATTATTTGTATTACATTATATTATTATTTATAAATAATATGTAGATTATTTATTTAGATTACACTAGATGATCTATATTTATATTGGATTACAAGACAAGTAACCAAGTAAGCAAACAAGTGAGTGAACAAGTGAACAAGTAATTTTCTTGTGAATATCATTGATAGTTTTGATTTAACAATTTTATATAAAAAAAGCATGTATTTTAGCTTAGAAAAATCAATTAATAACTCAGTCAATAAATCATTCAATTAATTAATTAATTAATTAGTTAGAGTTCTAAATATTATTGACTCAAAAATAAACTCCTTTGATAATAATGCCCTTTTGAATTTAATATATTTAGAATGTTTAAATATTCCTTTTATTATTTCATTATTTAAGCTTTTAAAGTTTTATTTTAGTTTTGTTATAATCTCTCACATATTTGTGATGTTATGTTTATAATCTCTTACACATTGTAATGTTATGTTAATGATCTCTTACATGTTTGTAATGTCATATTTATAGTTTGGATCTCTCACACGTTGTGATGTCATATTGTTAGAATAATTTAATAAATTGAATTTATAATATTTTACTTGTCTATAAATCATTGTCGTAATTATCAAATACATATTAATTTATAAGTAGATTTCTCAAGTCACTTTTTCACTAACTAGTAATTTATTGAATACATATTACCAACCTTTAGTTATTTATCTTATCTCTCCCATCTGACTTGAAACACGTGTTGAACACGTAAGAAGATATATATTTGAAATCCAAGTAAAACAGTAACAGTAGGTTGATAAAAAAGCAATTTACAAATTAAATTTAACTCCTCGTCTGGATCGATTCTAATAATAGACTTGCTCAATTTACTCATTTTCGATATATTTTACTATAGCAATAAACTATGTTTCAGCAAAATCGAGAGATAAGTTAAAAGATAAAATCTCCTTTCTATGAAAGACATATTATAATGTAAAAAATAGTTATGGCATTTCATTGATTACTCTCTAATCAAATATCTTATGGATCAAGCTCTGATCAGGAATTAGAATTGGAGCAGATAAATCAAACTTTGGAAGATGAGTTATCTAATGAAGTTTCAATCAATAGGTTCAATGAGAAATACATAAATGAGTTAGAGCATAAATATACCAGATGTGAGAAAGAAATTCAATCTCTCAATAAAGAAATGAAATGACTCGAGAATGCTTCAAAGAAAGAAAAGACTAATTTGAGATTGAAAATATCATTCCTTAAAAAAAGCTTATATCAAGCTAAAAAAGAAATCAGAGATAAGGTATCCTATATCGATAATATAGAGAAACAATTACAAGAATCAGAAAAGCGAATTCAAAATCTAAGACATAAATTCAAAGTTATTTCTTTCTGAAGAAGCTCTTCAAGTTTATATAATTCAGAAGAGGAAGAAATAGATATGGCGAATCTTGACCTTTTTATACAAATTGATTGAGGCTTAACTTGAATTGAAAATCATATCTGAGATGCTGGTACTTCATTAAATAATCCTATCAATATTATAAATGACATTAGAGATTCTTTGAATGCTGTCCGTTTTAATTATCAAAACACATATCAGGATATAGATAGTGTTATCACTCAATGAGATGATAGAAATAATCAGATAGTCCAGCTACAATAGGATGTCAATTTCTATAAACAGCAAAATGTCAACCTTTAAAATCAAACCAATCAACTTGTTTAGGAGTGAGATATCTTACAAAATTATATTAATCAACTTATACCAAAATGAGATACCTTGCAAAACTATGTCAACCAACTTATATTAGAACGAGATGTCTTGCAAAATCGTGTCAATTAACTTACTCAAGATCTTAATAATAATCAACAAAGATATAATTTGTGAGGATGTTTGTGATTTAATACAAGTCTGATATGGGATGAACAATCAAAACTCAAACGTTGTCACAAGTCCCAGGTTCAGGTAGGTAATCTCGTAATGTGGGTGTTCAACCAACATCTATTTTAATATTTCAATGATTCGATCCAGTTGCTTTTAGGATCGCAACGCAGTGCAGCTTCTTTTATTCTATTAAATTAGAATAGATAACACTACTACTAATAAATATCTCCTTTGTATTTACTTAATGTGGTGACAGTTCTATAGCAATACAGTACTGATATTCTATAGCAACCTGGTTGAGTATCCAGTAGTATATAAAGTAAGTGTTATAACAAAATTAATAATTATAAAATCAATTAATGTACAATTTCATTAAACAATAAACAAGAAGCAATTTATTGACTAACTAGATTTTGTATTGATTAATTGATACCTTTTGGTTTATCCAAAAGGTTCTTTATTTATATAAAATATTTTATGATAAGAATATTACAATATAAGATATATTATACATGTAGGATAAATATGATATAGTAGATAAATGTGCTAAGTTTAATATGTCTGACATCTCTGCTATCTCTGCTATCTCTACTATCTCTACTCTATCACATGACTAAAATTAAGAATTTAAGAAATTAAGAATAATTCCAGGCCATAACAACGTGTTCTTAAAATTATTTATAAGGTATTTATTCATCACTTAAAGCAGGAACTACAACAATACCAGGCTGATAAAGGATTATTAGAATATAATCGAGATCAGCTCTTTGATAGGTATTATAATAAATTCAAGAACCGAAAGGCAAGTCATATTAAGTGAAAAATAGAGAGCATAATTTATAGCAATTAACTTTGAATTTACAGAACAAATTTTACATTTACAGAATAATCTATTACTAAATCCATCTCAGATACAAATATCGAACATGATAGGAAATGGACCACCTCTTTTTACTGGAAAAGCTGAAGAAGATCTATCAAATTGGATTTTAGAATTCAAGAGATTTGTAATTGCATCTCGAATAAATATTATAGTTGGTGTAGGAGGAGTTACTGGTAGAGCAAAAGCATATAATTTAGGTATATCATGTATGATTGATGAAGCAAAAATCTGGTATGAAAATGAAATCAAAAATAGAAACTGGCAATGTAATAATATTCTTGATAGTACTGATGTAAATGACTTAAATGCAATTCGAGCATTAAATAATGACGCTTTAACAGGTATTAATGCAAATCAGTTTCTTGGAGAAGTCTTGATTGTAAGAAATAATACTGGAAGTGATAATACAATAACCAGTGCTAATATTATTCCAGTGGGTACATGGGATGAAGATTGGAGTATAGCTGGAGGACATCCCGCACCTATAGAAACTCCATTTCCAACTAATTATGCGAATGCTGGTACAGGTAATTCAATTATTGCACCCAAAATGACTCTTGAACAATTTTTATACTGCCTTGAATATCTTTATCCTACAGTTGAAGCGCAAAAAAATTTTTTTTCTTCAGTCAGATTACGCAAGAAGGTATGTTAATATTCAAGTATAATACCAAGATATCAAAACTCAGAGAATTACCAGAATCAAAAATGAGAAAGCAGTATATTCAGAAATTAAATCCTATAAATCAATACAATGTTTGCATAATAACTAAATATCATGACACTAGAGATAATATTATAAAAGCATTAGTTGAAGCAGAAAAATTTTCACTACTACAAGGTAACTTTCTATTCCCACCTTCTGGAAGTCAAGTATCTAATCCCTATGAAAAAAGTATCAATACAGGTTTGACTGAAACTGAAGTTAAAAACTTGATAAAATCTATGATGCCAGCTACACAATCTACTGCTTCTAAGTCTCAAGAAGAACAATCTAATCAAATCACGCTTTCACAAAATGATTTCAAAAAAATTATAGCAGGTTTGAAGGGAACTATTGCTAAAGGACAACAAATTTTGAAGAAATCCCCTGGACTAGGAAAATGAAAAGCTGATGATCTTGCTTTGGATCATTTTTTAGATAATGTCTCTAATGACAGAGATCCACTATTACCTGAGAACTATGAGTATGATCCAGTTGAAGATTTGAGATTACAGCTTGAACAGTTAAATATTAATCAAGCAAAAATAGCTCAAGTAATACATGCAATTTTAAAATCATCTCAATACCAATGTTCAAACTGTAGTAGAACAGGTCATAATTCTCACAACTACCCTAAAAATAAAAAGAAAAGCAAGTTCAAATGTTCTAGCAAGCGCAAGTTCAAAAAAAAAGGCAGTGTCAATATCATTACTATAGATTCAGCTTCTGGCTCTGATTCTGATACTAATTCTTTGGATAATGAATCTGATTCTGGCTCTGGATCTGGTTCTGAATTGAAATCTAATTCTGAGAATGACTTAACTGAAACTGAAATTACGAAAATTATCAATGCTGTTAAATCAAAAAAAAGTAAAGTGAAAAGATTCCAAGACTAAGAAGAAATCTAAATCCAGCAAAAAGAAACAGAAGGATACTTCCACTTCTGGTAAGTTCTGAAATAAATCAACTGTTATTAATAAATCTCTCCAAAAGATTATATTAGATATGTTTGATGATATTGCACTTATAGATTGGATTGAAAAACTTAAAGCCAAGATTGAGAACTCATCCAACATATTTCTCTCTATCAAAAAACATGACTTTATAGATTATAGAGAACCAATTCCAATAATTCCAGAATCAAATTGTAACAATTTTCACATATCCTTGTAATTTCTTGTATCATGTTTATCCTTTTTTGTGTTATATTTATCATTTCTTGCATAACATGTTAGAAATTAA